TTTCCTTAGAGAATAGCACTGCAGTTGTTACCGTTGTCTATTAATTCACTGCAATTCTGGTAACCCTACTCACAAGAAACAACAACACTACCTTAGTAGTATTACCTAAACTATCTGCCATTCGAGCAGAAATCTTTTTAATTTAAATCCTTTAACATATTCTAAGCAAAAAACATTCCATTGACTGCATGGATGGCATAGTGGTTTAGGCGGTTGTCTCGCCGCTTCATTCTGCGTGGAGTGTTGTATCTTCTATCCCCTCACGGGACAACACTTTGTGTAATCTACAGATTGATGTCCTGAGTGTGAATGAATGTTTGTAAAGCCCCCTTCGACAGACGCACCTTAGAGCAGGAGTTGTCTTTCTATGAAAAAGAATATAAATTGTATAATAAAGCTACTAACTGACAGTATCTATTAATTAGAGAAATTATAGCTTAAGTCTTATAGCTTGAGCCGAGTATGCAACACTACCGGTCAAAGTTAAGAGTTTTGTGAAATCGCTCCCTTGATAAATTTAATAACCCTTATAGTTAATAACGATTGTTGAATAAATAATTAATTTTCGCTCATTAGAAATGATATATGACGGCCTGTTCGCATTACTGCAACAAAAATGCAGCTCACAACGCGTTATAGTCACTGTAAAATATCGACATCGCGAAATTCGTGCTATGATTCTTATAAAATACAAAAATCTTATAGATACAAATATAAAAAGTCATTTTTTAAACAATACTAATTATCTATTGATTTGTTGTTTGCTTTGCAACAGCGAATCGCACCTAAGCGTCTCCTGAAATCGATTCTCAGATCTACCGTGCTACATACATAGCTGACGGATTTTTTAATTTCCCATTCTTTCTAATGTTTTCACAATTAAATAGATATTCATATAGCACATATAAACCTGGTTATTGGCTGGTTTTATTTTCCATGTAGGTATATCGTGGAGGAAGTGGCGATAAACGCAAAGTAAAATTTATTAAATATTACACGCGAAGCACTTTCTAGATGTTATTATGGCTGAAAAGTTTCACAGAGCTAACTATAAGCTACGTGTCTGTGGGGCGACTTCGTAATACTCGGTTCGTTCATATTTTAATGCTAACGATTGTTTTCCTTAATGCAGTTACGCTCTTGGCGAATAAAACTAATATAACTGGGACTCATTTTAGAACTTCTGGTCTGGTGTTTAGTACTCTAAGTTCGGTTCTTGAGCTCTTAATCTTCATAGTATATGTAGTGATTAAATCGTAAAATGAACTATTTCAATTACGTCAGATTCGCATTTCATGCAAAATTAATAAATAATCACGCTTTTTACTTGACCTCTCATGATAAAGTAAAAAAACGGGATAACGTCATAAGATATCATCATCGTCATATTATCCGTTGTTAAAGACTGTTTTAGTTTATGTGATGCGTTATGGCGGCGGACAATTCCTTAACAGCAAATCATAATGTGCTAATAGAAAAAATGATGAATCGAACGAACGCTTCATGAAGTGGTCATACTAAGATCTGGCTACGACCAAGATACTAAATACAATACTGATATGTTACGATAACAATTTCATCACAATGGGTGATCGTTATTTAGACGCAATAACTTTTAGTCACTTTTACTCACTTATCCTCATTGTGAATCCATCACACTAAAATAAGAATAAAAAACCCCTCGTACTTAAACTCCCGTGTAACCCTTCAATAAAAAACAAACACCGTATTATTTATTTACTTTATTTCTCAAATCTTACGCTGTTAAACGTTTGCTAAGTCGTAGGCGAATGATTCGTTCAGATCGTACAAATTTAATAAGCTCCCGGCGCTTATGTAAATGCGTCGCAAATGAATCGATTCACCCTCATTCAAATTAGGCTTAGTGACTACTACCACCTGCAAAAGTGCTTATTTATTACGTAAACATTCCCTTTTGCTAATAAGAGATAGTCTTCTCAAGTCACGAATTAGTAAAGTAAATGCCTGGAAGACGTAATCCTTATTTTCAGTCTAATATACTTCATCACATTACCTTCTAGTCTTAAGTTTAAAGAATATTGGCATCGTGGTCAAAGAGTGTTATTAATTTAATTTAAATATTACTCTAATTCGCTCGTTCGTCAATAGATATATGATAATAACAAATACGACCGTCTGATCCCAAACTAGGCAAAGCCTGTGTTGTGGTAACCAGACCACTGATAAACATACCTATATATGTATTTTATAAATTACACCCAGAACAAAAGACCGTGCTCATCACACAGTATTTTTGTCCTGGGTGGGAATCGAACCCACGACCTCCTTGTATTATAATACCTAGACTATTTACATCTACATCTCGATTATTTTTGAAAAGAACTAAATACGTATTTAAACTACTTCCACAGGAGTAATCCTGTATTTTTAAAGTAATATATCTCTTGTTTTAATACAAATTTTTCAACCCGGTTCAACCCTTTCAGGCGATTAGTCATGGTTTATCTTTGTATTAGATCTAATTACAATTGGAACTGATTTCTATAAATAGCAAAAAGAAGTTAAATTTCTAGTGTTTATGCCTTGAGAAAATTGTTGAAGTTAAATTTCTAGTGTCTATGCCTTGAGAAAATTGTTGAAGTTAAATTTCTAGTGTCTATGCCTTGAGAAAATTATTTCTTTTCTAAAATGTCTTTAATAACTATTAGAACGGTGAAGCAAACTATTTTTCGTTGACATTTTACTAAGAATACCAGAATCTAATTAGTTTGTAGAGGACCTTGTTGGCTAGTGGTCGCGGTTACTACATTCAAGACGTGGGGTCTTACGTCCGAGACTGCGAGGTCCGCGGCTACCCTCAAGAATAATTGCAACCCTTGAACCGATGTCTGCGGTCGTTGAGCCAACAGATATTAATTAGTGAACTTTCTGTGTTTGATAAAATCTACAACTATCAAATAGTTTATTCAAGAACAGACAGTCTACGATTTAATATTTCTTTAATTGCTGCATTCACGACAACTTTCCTTAATAATTTTAAATTGGAAAATGAAGATGCACTTGTAGTGAAAATATGTAGGTATACGTAGCGTCAGTACCTGGGTGACCAAACTGCACTTTTTTTTTTGTATGTGTAATTTAAATAACAAAATGATATCTAAATACAAAACTTGATCCAAATGCTCAGAGCTGTTGCTGAGATACCAGAAATATACATATTTAAGTTGGATATACATATACAGACGTTTCACCGAGAAGGGAAGAAAGAATTAGAGGCGACAGAGCAAATCTTCAATTTTTCACATTATTGCGCATCTTGTGGCTGGTGATATCACAACATCGAAAGATTCCATTACATAGATAGATAATGCCAAAAATTACACGCGAATAGTATAGAAGAATAAAAAAAAAACAATATGGATTAATTCTTTTTATTATTTTTTATTTTAACTACAAATTCTAAAGTAGTATTTAACAGAGACACTAAGAACGAAGATAATTAATATTATTTGACGGGAATTAACGCGATCTCTTATTTAGGGTATTACACACTGTGTGTACCGTAAACCTACTCATACGGACAGATACCTACACGCCACGTCTCATCATCACCCCCGGCACTTGCAATCTGTTATGACTTCACTCAAAAACAGAGCTTACGATCTCTGTGACCCTGAACATTTAGAACAGGAACTAAAACATATTCAGGAGGTACTCAAAGGTAACGGATATCAAGTGAAAGGAGGACGGAAGCAACCGAAAATAAGACGCAAGTATCCAGAAGTGAACAGGCAACCGGCCTATATGCCTTATGTCAAGGGAGTTACGGACAAGATCGGGTCTGTACTAAAGAAATATTCCATTCCGACAGTATACACACCAGGCATAAAGGTTCACAACATCGTCGGCACACCGAAGGATACATTGCCACTACAAACTCCGGGTGTTTATAAAATAGACTGCAGCTGCGGAAGCTCATACATAGGCCAAACTAAGCGGACTATTGCAGAAAGGGTCAAAGAGCATATCGCTGCTGTGAAGAACCGACAGACGAGCAAATCAGCGATTGCAGAACATGCACTCGATGCAGGCATCAACCACTGGATTGAATTTCACCGCACGCAAGTCCTCTCCACCGAACGTCACTTTTACTCAAGAGTTGTACGTGAAGCGATTGAGATTAAAAAGCATAAAACTTTCAATCGGGAAGATGGTTTTAAATTATCTACAGCGTGGAATCCAGTGTTAAAAAACATACCACCTCGCTTTTCTGCGCAATCGGTTAAACACCAGAATAGGGACTCATCGGTTTGCTTACAGAATAGGGACACTGTTAGTGTGGTATGTGACGGTACATGGCAACACAAAAATAATATCGAAAATGTGCGGGTAGATGAAGAGCCTTCTACTTCACGGATTCGACGACGGAGGGCGTGCGCCGATGAGCCAGTCAGCCTGTGACCACGGCCGGTGCAACCTGGTCGAAACGTCAGGCAAACCAGAGGTATGTAATACCCTAAATAAGAGATCGCGTTAATTCCCGTCAAATAATATTAATTATCATGGAACGCGAAAGTTTAAAAGTTAGTAAGAACGAAGATGTGCCAAGATGGTATATAGTCAATAGAAATAGATTTTATGTTTGTCTTATGTTAAAAATGTATCTTAGTTCCCTTTATTACTTTTGCATTACGATTAGATTTAATATTTATAAAACACATTTATAGTACTAATAGTCAACATAGTCGTGTACATACTTGCACTTTAACCTATAGTGAGTAACTAAAATAACAGCCACAGTAATTAAATTATCCAGCTCCTCATGCCTAGAAAACTAATAAGAATAACTTTAATATTAATAATAACTTTTAATCTGCACTCAAAGTACTTATTACTTAAAATTGCTCAATACTTTTAATGAGAAATAGCTGAGTCAATCTTTGTCATGTACTTTAAAATTTTAATTACACGATTTAAATTTAATAAGTATGTAAATGGTAGTAGTTTGTATATGCTCGTTAGAAACTTTCTCCACAAAATCTTCCCAGAGCCTTACACTTCCCACAAAGTTCTCGAGGATGGGCTTTATTAGGGTCACTCTTGTCCAACCCGTCCGGTTTCAAAAGTGGTCTCTGAAAATGATGATACTCTTCAAATAATAGTTACACAACACGGTGTGAAATGGGGTACGAAGACACAAAGCTCAAACCTCGGTAACGCACTTATTTCTATGAGTTGAATGTGCTCATAAACGACGATAGTCACTTACCATCCGGTGCCCGTACCCGTCTGCTCGTTTACCCCCCCCCCCCCTCCACCTTATATTGAAAAAAGTCATTCTCAAGAGATATCTTTGAGTATATGTTTTGAATTCAAGATGTCTTATAAACTCTGCAGTTCAAGGTACAAATAATTTTATAATAATTATATTGAGTGGTTCACTTAAAAATCTTAGTAAGGTATCAATATATTACTTTATGGCAAACAAATTTTATCCTAAAATTTACTAGGATTTTTTTCCTTGGAATACCTATAAGTTTCTATTCGAGCAGAAACAAAAGTATCTTTCATAAGAGGATCTGATGACGTCACATCGCAATCGTGATCGATACAACCCCATGACGTCATGTTGCAATAGACTAATGAAACTCGTGGTATAATGTTACTGGTGTATCCAAACTATTTTTTTTGTGAAGGACAAGAATGCTTGGGATTAATTAGCGCAGGCTATTTCTTTCTTAAGTAAAAATGTGGTGTGGCTAGTACGTTTTTTATTATTATTATTTTTTCTATTTTTTATGTTTCACTTCATTTTCTCTTGTATTCGTTTTTTTCTTCTTAATCTTGTTTTCTCTTCATTGTCTTTCACCTTTTAGTCCTCAATAACGGACATACTAGCACACATCAAAACAATGTTGTGGTATATTTAATAGTGCCATTGTATCTACATGTGAATTGCAAAAGAGTGGCCATGAGTTTGTTTGCCCTTTATTCTCATAAGGCTCAACCCCTTTTAAACGGGTGGTTGTAGATCGGCACAGGCATCTCATAGATTTTGTATGGGTTTGATTTTTGTTAAATTTATTTTTTACTATTTGACAAAACAGAGATTGTTGCTTTTGTGTGTGTTGATCTATGACTTTAGAGTCGACATGGAAGACGATTTCAAACAATTTTGGAAATTTTATGAAATAAAGAAAGTTTGAGTTTGAGTTTGTACTTGTCATATTAAAGTCCAATAGAGGCTGCTTTTTGACTTAGATTTTTTATGATGATAGAGATTACTGCACGGATGGCATAGTGGTTTAAGCGGTCGCCACGCCGCTTCCAAGATGGGATGGCACAAGGGACGACACTTAGTGTGATCCACAAATTGTTGTTCTGAGTCTGGGTGTTCTTTGTGTCCGTTCATGTATGTTTGTAAGGTCCCCCGCGACACAGAATATATTCCTATGAATTTTGATCTCATACAATGCAATATTTTTTACTAGTTTTAATGTAGTTATCGTGTGAAAAAGTATTCTGTGAAACTCGCTGATAATGTAAGTTTCCACTAGTAAAAGATTTTTTTATATCGGTTTAGTGGTTAAGGCGTGAAAGGCCTAAGAAACAGACAAACTTAGTTTAACATTAACATATAATGGATATTTACCTGTTTATGAGGCATGACATTGATATTGCATCTAGTACACTTTTGTCCGTAATTAGCCCAAGAGTTAGCACTCATCCAACTGCGGCCACATTGGGAGCAGCGGTACTCGCCAAAGCACCTTTCTTCTTCTTGGTAGGGAGTCTGAATATAAATGTTATATTCTATTAGTTTAAGTTTTTAATATATTAAGATAACTCGATAACAAATTTAAGGTAACTCGATCCATTATATTCGAATACATTCATCACATACATACAAAAACAATGGCTACTTTTTCTTTACATTTTATTTTATATTCCAAACGGATATCACTTAAGAAAAAGGATTAGATAAAATGCCAGTGAAATGTGTTTGAGTTGTATTTGCAGTGTTAAATTTGCAAAAAAAGTTATATGTTCAATGTTTAAAATATTGAAATTATTGTAATGAACTTTTTAACTAGGTACTTTATAAACATGTAATACAATTCCTCCACAAGATTAGCAATTAATACATATTATTCTCACATTCCCGCATCTTGATATGATTTCTCAAATAAGACTCGTTTTGCCGGATCCCTTTGAATTAGTCTTAAACAGGGTTTTCGTACTTAGTTTTATGCACTAAATATAATAACCATTAGTAATACATTGCATTAAATTACGTACCGACATTTTCAATGAAGCGATTGAATCAATACTCAAATTGTCTAAAAAACAAATGAACTAGTAACAATTCTTCAACAAATATTAAAAAATACTGTGACTATTGTTATCTGTGTAACCCTTTTATAAACCACTATAGAGCACGACCGGAGCAATAATATGAGTATCAGTAATTGGTATTATAATAGGAACAGGTATGTGCAACCATTGTGATTTTAGTGCGATACTAGTGATATAATCTATATAGAGAATTATAGTTTTAGTACAAGTAGTAGCAGATAGTTTTAGTTTACTTAAATAATATTTGCTCGATTAACACGAATACAAGTAATTAAAAATTATAGACACAAAATCACTGTTACTTATAACTGTTACCGCAATGTAATATGCGTGTATGTTTCTAAATGTAGTGCACGCTCTTTACGGGGAAATCCCAGTTCGCCAGCGCGATATCAAACGATATGACAGGTGGAAGCAGTGTCTCCAACTCGTTCTAACGAAAATACGGTATTGCCAGGTGACAAATACGGTAGATTACGGTGTCAGTAATTAAAAAAAATTGTAGGATTACGGTAAAGAACAATGGCAGGTCCCCATACATAATTTTATTTGAACTGAAATGGTAGCGTTTAAATATCAAAAATGTCTAAAACACTTGAGAATTTATTCTTGACCATTCTCATAACAAAATTACTAGCGAAAGAAGTCTAGGAAAAAAGATATTGTATTTTGAATGTTTCGAGGTTAAGTACTAACATACTGTCAATGTTTTGTTTGAAACTAGATGGCGTTGTGTCTCATATAACCGAAAATATTATTCTCATTATTATTACTCATAAAAAAACCCTATTTTGCTGTTAAAAGTGTTAGCCGACTCTCTAAAAGGGTGCAGGTTATTTTACCAATTCATAGTAAAACAATAGAAAAACCTCTTCGCTCACCAAGAAGGTGTAATATATAAATAAATATATTATAAATTAAAAATAATTATTCGAATAATTGTACTTCAATACACATTTACACAAGACAGAAGCAATTTATTTTATTTATTGGACAGCTAGTAGTTGTTACATTATTTACTAAAATCTAAAGCATGCACACGTTATATTGAGATTAATGCACAACATTTTAAGGCGTCACATCATGCATAACAGACTATATGAATCGACTGTATAAAAACATAACATATGTTATGTGTATGTTTAACGCTACATTAAAAAAATAATCAAAAAACAAAGAATTGCCGTGTCATTGCTTAGTCATGAAGTCACGCGTGTGAGTGTCAAACGACAAGACTGGTGAGTGCGGCACACGACACGGCGACGTATCGACATTTTGAAAATATCGATGTATGTCTATTTATGAGCTGTTTTCAACGACAATGTTTTTTTCTCATCACACTGTGCAGTATATTGTTATACTGCAAACATTGTTAAAATAACGTAACTATATTCTATTAATTTAGTCTAGCAAAAATCGTTTAAAAAGAGTAAAAAATATTCCAAATTATTTCTAATTATGTTGATTTAGTCACTCTACAGTGCGAGTGAACCCGTGGGCAGAAGCAAATTCATAATCATAAAAGGTGAACTTTCGATAGATATTTCAGCCAAAGCTATAAAAATCGTTTATCGATAAAACGTTTCGTAATATAATATTGCCACCACGCATCTGACATTACGTACTTAGTCAAATAAAATCTTCAAAAATATCCGATCTTTTATAAGACTTATACAACACATGGTGGTGTAATGATAAATCATAGAAAAAAGATTTATTAAGTTTAGTGTGAGTCATTTTTTTAAACGCTTGAGTTTTAGGTAAATATGTTTCTGCCATTGTTCTTTAATAATTAAAAGAAATGATAAATATGATACAAATGATAAATATACGTATACATAGATGCGTTCATCATAGTTAACATTTAATCGGTTGGGGCGAAATTAATACAATTTTTGCCGTGTCTTTTGATGCATTGTTCGGCTAACAAATTCCCAGTAACCGTTTTTGTAACAAGTTTATTCCTCTTGTCGGTTTTGATGTCGTTTATTTGGATGAAAACTCTTTCGCAGTAGAGTGTGGTAGGCATAAAATTTGCAGCATGAAGTTGGACAAGGTTGAAAATGGTTTTTTTCCATCTTTGTTTTGTAGTTGGGCAACCTGAAAGTAAAAACAAACTGTATTAACTTGCTCTGATGATAACCTACCACTGCTATAATAGTCATTCTTATTTTATACTAGCTTCTGCCTAAAGTAGCCTATATTCTTCCTGGGAATACATATCTCTATTGCCTTTCCAAATGTCATCTAAATCTGCTCAGCCGTTTCGCCATGAAAAGTATTGTTAGTTACAATAATATAAAACTTACCTGATGCCAAAATATATCTGAAGGCTCTGAAGTGTGTTCTGTTTGTATGATGGCAAACATCTCCATTGGTCATCTAAATCCTGCTGTTCCTGTAACGATTTGGGAGCTATTCTTGGCAACATCGTGAAAAGAGGGGCCAAGGTGGAGGGTCTTTCGTGTGATAGCAGTGATAGACAAGCTTCTGAACTGATTGTAGAAACTGCGTGTAGGAGTTCATCGTCGAGGCTGTACCTTTTTCTTATTCCAATGATAGCTCTTAAAATGAATTTTCTGCACTTACTTCTGAACTCACGTATGTCATTTTCATTATTTGCCACTTCAGGTAGCGATAGTTGTTTGCGGACGCCGAGACCAAGATATATGTCATCGAGATTTAGATAAAGATTTTCGTTGGTAGGATCAATGAGCTTGTCATCGAGCATGCACTCCGGCTGCATCACAAGTTTGATCAGATTTCTATATAAATCTCTCATTTTAGTGTGCATTTCTGTAATAACAGTACTTTCACTTTGAAAGTAAGCATTTGCATTTGCAAATTTGGGTAACATCCATGACAGAAAATAGTAGTAGGCTTTGATTATTGGGTCATTTAGTCGTTTGTGGATTTCCCTGCATTCGCGATCATCTAACCATTTACTGTCGAAATAGAGACGTAGTGCGTCCCATTGTTCCAGCAATCGGTCTACAACCGATGATAGCGATAGCCATCTTGTTTGGGCTGGACGTAGTATTTTGTGTACATCAACCTCGACGAAATTTTGAAAAGCCTTAAACTGACTTTGGCGTTTGCTGCTCGATTTAAAATGATTGTAAACGTCGCGTGCCAGTTGTTCACATTCTGAAGGTATTTCTTTAGCGGCATCACTAGCACACAGGTGTAGCGAGTGGCAGATGCATTTGATAATTACAATACCTGGACATGATTGTCGAAACCTAGAAGAAACTGAGTTGCGAATGCCCATCATTGTATTACAACCATCCGAGCCAAAACCTATTACATTTTGAAGTGGTACGTTTTGATCTTCGAAAGATTATACGATTGCATTAAAAAGGTATTCGGCATTGGCACTGTGGTCCGCTGTAGATTCTTCAAATAGTTGGATGAGATCCCAAAAACGACTAACAACTCGTCCTGTTTCCGAGTCGTAATAATGCACAACAACGCACATTGTTTTGACCACACCTATGTCTGTACTTTCATCTATTAAAACAGAAAATTTCTGGCATTTCAAATCAGATACGATGGACTCTTTTTCACTTACACCCAAGACATTCGTGATCACCACTTGTAATTTACTGTGCTTCATTTTTAAGTTTGTCGCTATGCTGGAGTCTGGGAAAATGTCAGGAAGTAAATCGTTCAAATGATCCATAACAGCGTGTGAAATTTTGTGCTCTGCCATAAATGCCGCCAACTTTATCTCAGCTCGTTTGACTTTCCTATCGGCGGACTGCATTTTTGTTTTATCAAAAAGGTTTGAAATTGAAGGTTGTTGACTGATCCCTTTAATTTTATCTTTGTGTTTTGTACCCTCTATGTTTCGTTTTAAGACACTTATCTCAGCCGTCATTGTGATGGCACATAAGGTGCACGTAGCTTTAAGAGGATCAGTTGGGTGCTCACTTAACCAAGATGAGAAGTCCTTGTTTGTTAACCATTCAGATCGAAATTTCTGTTTATATTTACTTTTCTGCTTCTTACCTGCCTGAGCCTTTTGTTTTTTTTGGAGTAGGTGGGCCATCACCATCGCTGTTACTGTCGATACTATCCATTTTAAAAACACAAAAGCACAACACGATTTTTTAAACGCAATTAATGTAGAAACTTTATTTTACTCCTAGAAACAGTGAAATAATAGGTACACAACACACGCAGCTTAATCTGAAAATGAATGTTATTATTCTGGGATAATAAGTAGTCCTTCCAATTCATTCACTTTAGTTACAAAAAGGTACAATTATATTTGGTAGGGTAATAAACATATGAACTGTGGAAAGAGTGTGGGAATTCCCCGCGTTGCTCATTTTAGTGTTGTCGTATATTTATTAATGTTGCTATAATTTAAAATATAAGAATATTTAATGGGAAAAATTAAACATTTTAAAATTGAAAATTACGGTAGTTTTTGATACCGTAATATACATACTACGGTAGGTAGTAAAACCAGCAAAATTACGGTATGTCTACCGTAATTACGGTGTAGTTGGAGACACTGGGTGGAAGTAAATTTTATAGATTTATACATATTGCTATTATATGTATATTTATATATATATAGGTATATTTTATTTGCCTATTGCAAAAAGGGACAAGGTTAAGTAATATTAGTTGTAATCTTTACGATTATGATGAACACCATAATATTTTGTTCTGTGGCTAGGTGTAATTTATCGATAATATTAGTATTTAGGTATATAAGTATGTTTATCAACAATCTGGTAACCATAGTACAGGATCTGCCTAGTTTGGGTTCAGATGGCCGTTTGTGATATGTATAAAGTTAATATTATTATAAATGTCGTGCACCTATTAACATTGTAAATGCAAAGTATGTTCGTTTGTTTCATATCTGAAGCAATAGGCGCTGTTTTTCTTTTTAAAAGGATTAGTTTATGACTCGATATATTATGTGATGTAAATTTTAAATAAACTGTACTTTTTATTTGTTATAGTGAAATGATAATTGTTACTACGTGAACTATGTTGGCTATCAAGTAGAACGTGCATTTTTTTGAATTTAGTGTTATCAAGGTTTAGGAAAACAACGATGATAATGTAATTGGGTATGTAATTATTACGTAAACAAAAATGATAATTAGTTAGTATGTAAGAATTGATATGTGGGTCCGGTGGTCTTAATAACAGCTATTCCCGGATCTCTTATATCAGGCGCTGAATTCTACACTGTGTGGTTTAAGTCAGTTCGATTCCGACACACCGCTCGAAATGCCGGTGGGGTGACGGCCCGAGGGGGTATGAAAATATGTCACAATTGATATATCTAGAAGGTAATGCGGTAACCAGCACTAAAATATTAAATACATTATTGAAAAGTTAAACAATTTAAAATATAAGATAAAATAGGAGATGATAATATATGATAAACAGGCATTGGGTTTATATTTCTGTATCTATAAAAAGTGAAAGATGATGGAATGTAAATCAGCTTCGCAACTAAATTTACAAAAAATCAATGTCTGGAATAGGCTACCAGGTGAGAATAACGAAAAATAATTTAAAGGCATTTCTCTACAGGTTACTGAAGATTTCTCTTCGAAATGTAGTCCACTATTTCGGACAGCGACTACATTTTTCAAAGTCATGTAAATCTGATTAAGGGCATTATAGAGCGATGATAGAGTAATAGATACTACAGTGACTGTTTCTGTGTGTTTCTGAACATGAATTCCTACAATAGGTGCGCGAATAGAATGCAGAACTTAGGAATGCGCTAGTCACAACAATGCAGGTGTTCGAGGCGAAGTTTAAGGCAGCGAGGGAGATGTTCCCGCTCTTCATCTCAGGTGCCGACTGGATTTAACTGACGCGACTACTATACTATTGACATGAGAAACACTTTAACGTATACACGCAGAATATATTTGTAGTTTACACAATTTTCGTCCCGTACGGGAATCGTACCTACAACAGTACGAATTTAACAATTACACCACCCGTGCATTTATACAAACATATACACTACCGCGTAGTTTTGTATGATCTAGGGTCTATCAACGTGTGTTATTTCCTCCAACACATGTTCCAAATAGCAGTGCTTGGGCGCTTTTATAGTATGAACATTCAGACGAGCGCCAATTCTAATAAAATAAGCCAAGTGATGTGGCGACACGCCAAGCGTTTACTGTGTAATCCTCTTCATTTGTACTATAATTGTGCACTGTGTTACATTTTAATATATATTTTTTTAATATTGTAGAGGTTGTAATGTAATATTACTTAAAATGTAGTTAGTTTATCATACTTACTGGGCTGGTTAGTATATTCCATCACAAGTCTCAAGGACGATTTACTCACTCATAATCCTCGTTAAAGAGAGCACCACTTTCCCCTTTTTTTTTTAAAGACAACTCCCACATTAGGAATATATTCAGTGTCGCGGGGGACTTTATACACATACACGAAACCGGCACAAAGAACACCCAGACTCAGAGCAACAGTTTGTGGATCACACAAAGTGTCGTCCCACACAATACTCAACGTAGTATAAAGCGGCGTGGCGACCGCTTAAACCACTACGCCATCCGTGCAGTCCTAATATTCATCATTCCTTATATCTACATAATCCATAAAAAGTTCATTGCACTGACTATAAATCTATGTACGTAAATAGATTAAAATTCCAGTGAGTAAGTTTTGAGAAAAGGGGTTATGACAGATGTTTAGGCTTGGATTCCACAAATTAATAATAGTTATAACCTCAAATCTTGCATACGGCCGTCTGATCGGAAACTAGGAGAGCATGTACTATGGTAACCAGACTGCTGATATATATTATATATATAATAGATAAATTACACCCAGACAATAAAAAAAGATCATGCTCGTCACAAAATTATTAGTTTTGTGTGGGAATTGAACCCACTACCACCGGCTTAGCAGTCACTATCACTAACCACTAGACCAACAGGCCCGTCGATCTGTGATCTTTTAAGAATGAGGTTCAAGTTGATAATCCCTAAGACTCCAAAACTCAAACATAATTTATTGTCGTGTGACACTTAGAACAGGTTCTGTAAGCCTTTTAAAGGTTGTCATTAGTTGTCTTGGTCATGAGTCTATCTCTTACGTTGTTAATCTAGAAAAGAAAGACGAATAGTGTTTACGTAAAGTTTACACCTTTTTGTTACAACTGTTACAATCTCTCCGTTAGCTCCTAATTAGAAAGAGCGGTAGGTCTCCATTTCACAAAAATACAACCTCTCAGAGGGTCTCGGGTTGGTGCGATTAAGGATTCAAGAGTCCGCCCATGCTCACCGTGTAATTAGCATGGCATACCTAGCTCTGTTTACTCACACTTAAGATGAGATTAAGTCGAGAATTTCTACCTTTGCCTTCAAGATGCAGGATTAAATGCTTACATTTATGTTATAGGATTCGTTAAAATGCCTCACACACAAGTTGTAGCACTTGTTCCATGTAAGTTGTGTATACATACATTCATTGGTCCTTATTATATTATTAGGTACTATTTAATGCAATTTCTTCATTACCAAAAAACGTATCGCATTTTAAATATTGCTACAAACATAATTCCTAATATACAGTACATTGTATGTAAAACGTAGAAACTATTTTGATCAGAACAATGTCATTTCAGCATCAGACACCAAACCAAGAAGACGTTATAGAAAACCTCTGCACTAAGTAGTCTATTTATTTCTAAAACTTTTATATATATAGCTATCTAAAAGTTACCTTTCAATTATATTAATAAATAAAATATCAAAAAGAAAAATTCATTTAAAGCACACATTTAAGCGCAGATACGAAATAGGAAATTCCTCGACTATACTCGTATGTAACATTATTTTATTTATAAATATATGCAAAGCAGCCTAAACCGTATTCACACGGACGGTTGTTCAATTCCATCAGAAAGGACCCAACCACTTTTAAATATTCCATGTGCGGTCAAGAGAAAAATCCACAAAGAAAATGTATTACACATCCTTTATTGCTATTCTCCCTCTTTTACAACGACCACTGGCTTCGGGTAACACAATTTTATGATACTTTTATCAATAAAGAGCTTTTGCCACGTGTCGTAAATATTGTTAAAAAAGTTATATATTTGTTATAAGAGTTGGAGGGGAACATAAACACAAAAACATCTTGACGTCCCGTTTATTTGCTTCAGTCAAAATACTTGAACAGTATTACTAAGCCGGTTACGTTCGTAGGTATTTTAAGTCAATTGTAAACAAGAGTTCGTTATATTTTAATCTCAACAAACACCCAATTAGTCAGTCGCTCCGGTGTTAATTAGAAGGGCCTTTAAAGGGCTAAGTATGCATTTAAGTACCCACTCAATAAAATTTCGTTTCCTTTAAGAAACAACCCTTTTTCTCTGAGATGTCATCGGCTTCTTTCGTGTCAATTGCACACCCCACTTGTAAGGGATCGTTAATTTAAGTAAATATTTGTTCGTAGAATTTTAAGGATACTTTACGTCTTTCAATTAAAATTATAATCCTCTTCTTTTATATATTTGTCTAATTATGTCTCTATTGTATATAGATAAAACAAGGCATATATAATTTATATATTCACATGCGTTATTAATACAAATAATAAAACAGCGGACCCCGTCTGTAAATTAAAGAAAATAAATAAAAAAGTCAGTAAGTATATAATATAAAGAAAAGTAAAATAGAACACGATAGACTTGTTTTTATACATATTTTCTGTTTTTCTGTATGTTTGTTAGTGTACATCTTCAGCACTACCTTACCGATTTTAATGTAGTTTTCAGAGGTGAACAAGGGATAGGTTTTTAAGAGCAAGAAATATTTCATTATGAAATCCAATTTCTATGAAAAGATAAAAGCATTTCAAGATCTTAGCAATTTACTTTAAAACTTTGGTTAGAGTTTTATGTAACGTATATTATTAACGTATATTATTATCCGTGTGGTGACGGATTAAGAATACAGAGTGTCACCACCCCTATTCATCCCGTGGGTGTCGTAAGAGCCGACTAAGGGAAAAAACTAAGCAGGACAACAG